TTTTCAATTTAGCAATTTGAAAAATTTCCCGGGTAGATTTATTTTTCTTACAAAAATGTTACTTTTTAGCTCTGCACACTGTAGAAAAATCTAGAGATAGTTTTGTCTATCGTAATAATATTAGTCGTTGCCAGAGAGCGCTATACAGTAGAGAAAAGTCTATAGATTTGAAAACTATAACAATAAATGTATATTTCTCAAAAGTAAAAAAAAAAAAATTCAAAAGTCGCTATTTTTAGCTGATTTGTTCGCAGTCGCCGCTACGTCCCTCTAAAAGTCACTATTGTGGCCACAAGTCGGGGAACACTGACTCCGAAGAGCAATGATCCTTCGTCGGCAAGAAAAACACCGTTGGACTTCTGTTAAAAGCAGTGGCGTAGCGTGGTTGTCAGCCGCCCGGGAAAAGGAAAATTTCGCCGCCCCCTTATTTAAGTATCTGAATTTAAAAGACTAAAATTCAGTTTCGTCACGGAATAAGTAATGAAAAATTCCGCGTTAGTGTCGCCACCTTTTTAAAATCGCCGACCCGGAGGACGGGTGAGGTTTGTTTGAACAAAAGTTCCCGACGCATGCGTATGTTATTTTGCAATGCGAAGAATAACTCGTGCAGTGCATGCCGGTTCTAAATCAGTTACAGTTAACGACTAGGGAGACTCGGGTAGGAGTAACGTAAGTAACCTAGATGACTTAGCTCTATTGGCTATTGGAGGTGTATATGAATACGAATGAGTCGTACAAGCAAAAAAAAGGGTCGACAGGTTCTGCACAATATCCCGGACTGTCCGGATGGTACCACTATTCCGTGCTCATTTCAATCGGTCCGAATTGTAGGTGCGACGAAAATATGTGATGAAATGGTTCAAGTTTTTACATGATATTATTATTTATTGTGAAATTTTGCCGCCCCCCTAAAAACTGCCACCCCATTACGTTACGCCACTAGTTAAAAGTCCTGTTAAGTATACGTAAGCAGCGCCCGGTTAAGCATTTATGTCGCCCCGGACAAAAAGACAAATTGCCGCCTCTTAAATTTATTTAGAGAGAAATATGTAATATAAAATTAACAATCAAGTAGTACAAAACAGTAAAAATTAAAAAATATTAAAATAAAAATAGTAAAAACAATTAAAATAAGATTGCTGTACCTACTAATTGTTAATTAAATGCATTTTTAAAGGCCGGTTGGCCGAGCGGTCGAGGTGGCAGCCTACCGCTCCGGGGGACCCGGGATCGAATCCGGGCGGGTGAAGGAATCCCCAGGAAGTTTTCGGAGGGTGATTCGTTCGAATATCTCGGGCCCCGTCCCTCACCACCCGGTCGCCCCATTGTGGACCTGGCCGAACCCATAACGGGCCTGCTATAAGAGGCCCTCTTAGTGCCCACAGGGCGGAAAGAATATTAAAAAAAAAGATGCATTTTTAATGATATCACAAAAATGTATTATTGTACAATCAAAGAACTTATATACTATAAAAACTAAAGTGCATCAACTATACTAAAATCAAAAGAAACTTTTTCTCACTTTCAGTTCTGCAAACTTTTTTAACTCTTTTAAGTGTACTCGATCGGCAGTTTCGCGCGCGATGGCCAAAATAGCCAAACTATTAAGACGATTTTGCGTGGTAGTGGAACGTAAAACGTTTTTAATTAATATTTATTTAGAGAAACTCCTTTCCCCCACTAGCTACAGTTATTGGTACGATCGGCAATATTCTTAAGGTGGCACTAAGGTTTGGGACAAAATTTAACATTGTTCCTTACGCTTTCCTTTTTGCCAAAAAGCACTCTTTAATGATTGTTTCCTTCGGAATTAAGGAATGCAAATATTTTCTTAGCTTTTAGGCAAAAATAATAATCACGAAATGTAAATTGCGTGGTAATTTTAGCCACAAAAAATCGACAAATAAAAATATAATTAAGTATTTAAATTATATATATTTTGTCACATTCGCAACCAAACTCGCGCCCTTTAGATTTGCCGCCCCGGACAAGTGTCCGGGTTGTCCGCTCACAGAGCGGATCCCGACCAGTGGCGTGCCGTCCTCGGAAGCGTGGAAGCGCCGTTTCCCTCGTATTTCACAAAATATTCGAGTACGAAGTAACCGGTTTCGACTTACTTCTACTTAAGAAGTAGTTAAATAATTAAGCGATTAGGCAATTGGAGATATAAACAAACCCCCGTTGAAAGAGCCGGAATATTACTTAAAGAAAAGCTTAACCCAAACTATCTCTAGCCGAGTACAGAGGGGACTGATTTCTTCGAAATACTGTATTAGATGTAATAAAGACAGAAATTTTTCCAGTTCGACGAGAGTGACCGAAAAGTTGTACATTTTGGAAATTTCTAAGGACACTTGGTCCTAAAAAGAATTAGAAGACAAATGACTATTAAGTTTAATATAATTAGATTTTTACAGCTATGGTGAGAAACGTTTAAAATCTACAATAACCCTGTCGCGTTCTTTGTGATACGACAAAAGACGTTAACCGGTATCGACACCCTCGGGATTTGGCGCGCCGCACACCTACCAAGATCGCCTCCGATTCCATTCACCAGCCACTGGTAGTGAGCAATTTTAACTAAGTGGATTGTTTTAATATTTAAAAAGTAAAGAATATTTTATGTAGAGGAAAAGGTGGTATTATGGAACCACCAAATTTCGAACTGATAATAAGGGCGAACTGTAGCCGAACTGAACTAGGCAGACATCCATAGCGAGGGGAAAACCCGTTTCGCTTCGGTTAAACGGTTGTCCGCATTTAATCAGCAAATTTGTTTTTTTCGAAATTCGAAACTTTTGAATGCGAAGTGAATTTAATTATTTTTAAAATATAAATCGTGTAGTTGTAGGTTCACTGGTGCACGTATTCCGTTCCAGAGACTTAGGGGTACATATTAATCTCTGTGATGTTCACGTTTTTTAAAATTCGGTCTTGACAGACATAAGTTAATTCAAGATGGCGATTCCATTGGTGCTTTTAATATGGAACCCAACTCCTCCGAACTCTCTATTTGCGAGCAGACATTCTTCCGAAGCAATTTGTGAAAAAGACACTAGGTAGAAAGCCAGGATCATGCTCGACGTTCCAAACGCCGTTGTCAAACTTCTAGGCTCACAGGAAGGCGGCGCCGAACGTCCGACGTACACGTTTTCGCGTTGAAAACGTCGGCAGCAACCTCTCTATTGTGTTGCCCGTCCACCCGACTGTACGTGAAGTTTTTGCGCTCTCCTCACTGTTTTGGTTACTTGTTATTTTCATTGATATTAATTGCGTTCTACACTACACTTATCCTTTGCATTTTCTGACACGTCGGCAAAGCCAATTTTCTTTTGCGTTTAACTTCCCAACCTTTTGTATTCTCACTCCGGTGGTGGGAATCAGCGCAGTGTTTATCCTTATGTAAACGATGCTCCTTACTGTTCAAATTTTTCCTATTGTAAAACCAGCATCGCTGTGTCTATTTTGTCGCGCTCGGACTATCGCTTTGTGCATCTGCCTTTATTTCTGTTATTATTTTTGTATTTTGTTTTTACTGCATATATTGTTCTTTGTTTTCTATGTTGTAACTCATCCATTATTGTAAATATCTGTGTATTCGTCCCATTTTGTTATTTTTGTACAATTTTGGTTCTAATAAATATAGATGCAGCTCTCAAGGCCCCTTCCCCTTCATTTTCACTTTCCAAGCAATCTTTCTTTCTCAATTTTAAGTTCTTCCCAGCCTTCTTTTCAATCCTTAGGGCAAAGTCAGTTTACATATCAGACAGCCCTGTAATCCTTTATAACAACAACAACGCCTTACAAACGGACAGCGAATAGGGAGTACGGTCGAAAGGATAGTGACTAATATACTGTTCTGTTTAATTATTATACGATATAACGAATAAAATATGTAATTATTCTTAATATAATGTTTTACTATATCGCCCAGAAAATTGTTTTTCGCCCCCCTAAATATAAATTGTTACTAATCGCCCCCGTCGAGAAACACCGCTTTAGACTTATTTAGAAAAGAAGACCCCGCGGCCGGCGTAACAAACCGAAGGCCGTAAGATAAAGTGGGACGAGTCGGAAATAGTTAAAAACTTACCTCCCCGACACCCGAAAAATTAGAGAATAAGAAGAGGTGGGAAGATAAATGTAAGAATGCCGGAGACGTTTACCACGGGCAGTTTTACGTGGCAAAAAGGAGTGGGTAAGCAAATAGACGTTACCGTCCGCCAAAGGTGTTCGACCACAGGTTATTTATTGTGACACGATAGCAATTTTTAATCGTACTTTTAATTTATAATACGTCTTCTCCGCGTGAAATTAGAGCCGTAGTGGCTGGCCCCCGTACATCATACTTTTCCTTTAACGTTAGAGTCGCGCGGGTCATCTATCAACCGCTTTCGGGGGAAAGTTTTGAATCGAAATAAGGTTTCCGCGTGTGGTTTCGTCTTTCGTCTCCGTTCTCGAGATTAAGGAAAGACGGACGACGGTGGAGTTTAAAATTATGATTTCGAGAGACTTTAAACCCGGTCCGAGTGTTTTCTCCGACCCCGTCCAACGGGTTCTCTCTCAAAAAACGCTCTTCCGGGTGGATTGGTCGAGCGGAAATTTAGGCCGAGGTCTACCACGTCGGGCGGAAGACGGAGTCGAAATCACTAAAGGCTTCCGTCCCGTCACTTTACTCTCTTGTTTAGCGCGCTTTTCCCGATATTCGAAGTCGATTCTTCGTAAAGCCGGACGAATTAATTTTCCCGTCCGCCGTTACGCGTCTCTCGGTGGCGTTCCACCCCCGACGGAACGCTTCGCGCGTCAAAGTCCGAGAAACCCGCCGATAAAAAACCAGTTCTTAAAAATTTCGGAAAGCGACGCGTCCCGAAAAAAGAGAGAGTCGGAAGAAGTCAACAGTTTATTCAGGGCGAAAAAGTCGGGATTCAGACCAGAAGTTGCCAAGACTTGGGTCGGAAGGCGAGGGCGGCCAGGGCTCCGGCCGCTCCCAGGATAGTGGCCAGGCAATCTCCTCCACCGGCCACGGTCTTCTTCCACCTGCGATCACACCACATCGTTACAAAGAGAAAAAAGTGGCGGCTCTAGCGCGCGCCGATCGGCTACTCACCCCGGGGCGTCCGAGAAACGGCCGTCTCCCTCTCTTCTCTCCTTGCCCTGAAAAGAAAAACACCCACAATTAGCCGGTCCGACCCCAACGCCGTCTCTCCCGGCGCCCGCCTTCCGTCTCACCACAAGTCGACTCTCCTCCCGTCCGTCGGCCCGGATCTGGCGGATTCGGGCTTCTTCCGTTCCTTCTCTTTTTCCCCCTCGGACGCTCCTCCTTCCCCGAGAATCTTCTCTTCCCTCCTCTTCCCGTCCGTTTCTCCTGCGGTTTCCGTCGGACGCGGGCCGCGCTCTCTCCGCCCTTCTCTCTCTTCTACCCACCTCCGCCCGGGGCCCCTCCACCGCCTCCGCCCGGGGCCCCTCCACCGCCTCCGGGGCGGTCCGTCTCCCTCTTCCGGCTTCTTCTCGGCCAGCCGTCCTCACCTCCCTCCCGGGGTCCCGGCGGTGACCCGTCCGACGCATCCCGGCGGCGGCCTCCGGGCCGGAAGCCCCGTCCTTCCGTTCCTCGGGGGACAGGCGGGCCGAGCGGGAGAGCGGTTCCCGGGCGGTGGCCGGGTCGGAGTAGCGACGTCCATAGACACAGATCAAAAAGAAGAGCAGACAGAGAGCGGGCGGGCGAATTCCGGACTGCATGGTTTCGGTGCGGTCGGAAGAGATTTCCGTCGAATCTGCCACCGGAGGACGGCGTCTTCCTTTTAAAGGCCCGGCCGCGTGCCTTATCTCCGCCCGTTAATTCGGCGGCTTTCTCTGCCCACTCGCTTCTTTCCCTCCAATCCGGGCGTTTCTCCTTCGTCCTTCCCCCCTCCGGCCGGTGGGAAGACGGGCGCGGAACGGCCGACTTTCTCGGCCGGTCGAAAGCCCGCCACGGCGCCCCGGGAGCCGTCCTCCCTCCTTTTTCGCCGAGAAGACGAAGACCGGAGGAATTCCTCTTTTCGTCCCGGGGCGAGAGGAGGCGGGTGTGACCCTCCGCCTTTCTGGTCGGAAGATCCTAGGGGACCGCTTCCGGTCCGGTAAAACGGCCCGCCGAAACGGACGTCGGCGGAGGAAGCGCGCGACATACGGAAGATTAATGAGAAAAACGGAGGTCGTAAATCGGGATTAGGCAGCCGGGATCGTTCGTCTTCCCGTTATCTGGCGGAGACCGGATAGGAGGAGATCGTCACTCACCGGAAGGTCGGCGGGGCGGTCTAGGTTCGAACGGCGTGAAGGGCGTAGGACAGACCCCGGTGGGTCTGCCAGCTCCAGCCATGGGACCAGGGTCGATACAGGGTGCCGTGGATCAGTCGAAGGCGACAACCGTCTGAAAAAGAAAGCGGATTACCGCGGGTCTATCTGGAGGGAAGACGGTTTTCTCCGCGCCGCGTTTACCGTTTCTTCCGTTAATCCGCCGGTCGAGCGAATAATAGGACGAGCGGCGGCTAACGAGAAATTTTCCGTTTCGTTAAGCCCTTCTGCCGCCGGGAGAAACTCGTTTACGCGCCGTCGGCGGCGGGAAGGAAAAGACCCGTCGATCCCAGCCGCACGAAGGTAAAAATTGGTGGGACGGGCGGGAAGACCCGAACCCGCGCCACACGAAATTTATAAATTCAAAGTGAAGGAAACGGCCGGTCGTCCGCCCGAAAGGTCGACTATTTTAAGCGTAAAGGGTGCCGAAGTGGCGCAGTAATTCCAGTGGCCGTTAGGAGTCCGAGTAGCGCCTCGTCTTGCGTAGGAAAAGGGCGGGCGTATTTCAGGCGCAAACCGATGCGGGCCCGAGAAAAACTGGCGTCAGCTCCGCCCCTTCTTCGCCCGTCCTTGCCTGACTCGGGCCGAAGACCATCGGCGCCGTACCCGGTGTTAGGTTTTTCGGGCGTATGGCGTAGCCGTCGACCCCTACAGACCGGAACCGGGAACCTCCCTTTACGAAAGGAGGAAAATCGAGACGCGGCTTCTTAGTGCGCGTGGTACAAATCGGGACCGAACGGAAAAACTCCGGTATTTGCTGAGGAGGCCCTTCTCCGGTCGATTATTTATCTAGGCCCGGGCGTGTTCCGGCCAACCCTTTTTCGCTCGTCTCCGTTCGGCCAAAGTAAGAGACGGTGAAGGAAACCGGGCAGCCGTTGCCCGGGTTAGACTTACTTTCTTCCAAGATGCGTCGCAGTTCCCGGGGCGAAACGAACTTGCTCCAGCGGTGCGTGCCCGCGGGTAACAGTCCCAGGACGTATTCGGCTGCCACGATGCCCAGCAGGTAGGAGGCCGCGGTTCTGTCCACGGTGGTGACGAACAGCGATCCGTTGTCCTGCGGCGGAAAAGCGTCGGCAGATTAGCGCGTTTTCTCCCTTTCTCAAAGCGCTCGGACTCACCTTCAGCGAGGCCACGCAGCCGGCCAGAAATCGATCCAAACGGTCCACGTGTTCCAGCACTTCGCTGGCCACCGCCGCGTGGTAGCGGCGGCCCCCCGCGCTCCACTCTTCCACCGTGCCGCAAACGTATTCCACCCGGTCCCGGATGCGGGGAAGGGCCGACAGACGGAATCGGGCCGCTCGGATCACCTGCAGACAAGGGTCCAGTCCGGTCACCGACGCTCCCAGAGTGGCCAGCGCCTAGAAAAAAAAAATTCGTCCGTTAATTTCCCTCCGCCTCCGCGGACGATTTTTTTATAACTTTCTTCCGCCGGGAAAGCGCGAAAAGTCGGAGAAAGACGAAAACCCGGAAGCGGAAATTCATTACGTTCCGTAACGACGGGAAGAGCGAAAACGTAAGTGCGTGGCGGAAGGGAAAGAGAAAAGCTTCCGGCCAGAGAAAAGAATCGTCCCGGGTGGTAAATATCGGGAGCCAGACGGAAGGGCCATCACATTCCGTCCGAGTCGGAAGTTTCCGCACTTATTTCCAGGCGGTAAACAAATTCCTGCCGCTCTTCTCTCCTACCGGGCCGCGGATAAATGCGCAACCGCCTACCCGGTAAATACAACGTCCGCGGCCGGCGGAATAAAGTCGCGCCCGGGAAGCGTGGTAGAAAACCGAGAGACGACGTCCACCACACTTACGAGTAACAGGTCGCGCGTGCAAGACGGGGGTAAATGTATCCCTGTACCCCCGCGTAACCGTCAAAAGCGTCTACTTCCGGCGAGATTCCACCGCCGGATTCGTCGGGTGGTCGATTAAATTAAAGTAACAGAAGTCGAGGGACGAGGGAGTGCCGAAGCGCCGGTTAAAACGGATAACGATCCGTTAATTTGGAACAGGACGAAGTAGAAATTTAGGCGGCGGCCAGAGAAAGAGCGGAGCGGGACAAAGTTAGCGTCGGCTTTAACCGAGGCAGGTTAAAATAAAATGCTGAATTAATTCTAAGGTAATCAAACGACCCGTTCCGAAAAACGTGGCGGGACGCCCTCCCCTCCTGCGAAAAAGAGTCGAGCGGGCGTTTATTTTTAAGCCGACGATCGAGGCATTAAGTGCAGTCTCTTATTAAATTTAATTAAATAATTTTAAAATATTTTGGAAGAAAAGATTTGGCCCAGAGCGGGACTCAAACCTACAACTCCCATTTGCTGTGCAAATGTGTTGCCAGTTACACCAATCTTATAAAATAGCCAAAATAACCAATGTTATGTGACAGACAGTGTGGCTTTATAATAATCTTTGCTATTTTTTCAATATGGCATCTGATTGTAGGTTTATTAAAGTGTTCTATACCATTTGGTGTATCACCAATTGAGAATTGCTGTCCTGTGATTGTTACTAGTGAATAAGATACTTTTAGAACATCAAAAATTTTAAATAAACTTATTAAATCCTAAAGCTGGAATTATCTTATGAACACACAAAAATTTACACCTTCCTCTCAATTTCCAGCATTCACTGTTTAAAATACAAATAAACATTGGAGTTGCCATTATAAAGTAGTTTATAGTTTATAGTTTGTAAAGAAATGGCCTTAACTGGATGGTATAGCCAAAAGGAAAGAAAGAGGGAGGGATGGAGATAGGGTGGGGTGAAGGGTGGGGAGTGGGTGGGAATAGGAAGGAAAAGAGCGAAGGGGATAAGAAGAGAATAAGGGCACTTGCCGCGAACCGTCCGTACGGAGGGGATAAATTACGAATAGCGTGTAGGGTTAAAAGACCGCGTGAAGGATACAGAGAGTAAAGATGGTGCCTTTGATAAGCATGACCAATAGCTAGAGAAGAATAACACAAGGTGCCAGATGGAGTATGAACAGGGAGGCACCTTAATAGTTGGGTGCAATGGAGTAGGTGGACGGATACAGTCAGGTAAGAGTCAGCGAGTCATAGGAGCTCGAGGGTGAGGGAGCTGGAGAGAAGACTATGTTAGGTGCTGGAGGGTTGTAGTCCGTGAGGTGGAGTTTGTTAACATAGTTAACGAAAGCCATAAACGTGTCCTTGTCTTCGATGAAGGCACTGAGGTGGCAGGGCCAGTGGTGACCATTGTTTGTTAAAGTTTCTTTCAGATGTTGGCGGTGCACGGTGTGTTTCGGA